TTCAAAAGTAAGGTCTAGATACTGGAAATAAGATTTCCTATCCCGACAAGTGAACACGCAGTAATCAACATATGTTTGCATGATGTTCAGACCTTTTGAATAAGCCGTCGATGAATGTTTGAAAAGTTTGTACAACATGTATTAAATCGAAAGGCATGAGCAAATATTTGTAGAGTCTAAAAGAGAGTGAAGATAGCCATTTTAGGAATGTCGTCAGCAGCCTTGGGTATTTGCACTTGCGTCGTAACTAGATCGATTTACGAGGGCAAATTGTATCTTTTTATGTATCTGTCAGGTGGATGTGTGGAAGGAGATGACGATCACGAATGGTTTTCATATACAATCGGTCGTGTTATGCAAAGTCCAGGGTGCATATCTAGTGTCTGTTTAGAATATGGGTTGATTATATGTTGAACCGTGGCAGAGCATGACCTACAACCAGAACAAAAAATTCCACAGACGGATAAATAAGTGTTTCGATCTACTACCATTCGTTTGCTTGGGTCGATGAGTAAATTTCGGTGTTATAGCGGACCTAAACAAATGATTGGCATCAGTAAAAACAAAAATCCAGTGGATTGGTTTGAGTAAAACCAAAATAAACATACCTTATACCGAGTATGGCGATTGATTTTGAATTTGCCGTCTGTAAATTAAAGGCTGAATCTTTGTAGATAGTCGTTCGTACTCGCATGAAGAACGCTGACTTCTGAGCTGTTAGTGTGATAGTGAACTTTCGTCATCACATGAGTGATGTATAACACAGCTATTTCGACCGGCTACGGTTGGTGTTAACGCGTGACAGCGGAGGAGTTAACCGGAAGGTCTGTTGTGACAGCATGTCTTGAATCTGGTAAACGGCATGGTCTCTTGCAATTTCTATAGGACTTACCTTACTCAGTGTGATAGCACCTATCACGGTTATCTGTTTCTCGTGGTCTACAGATAAGTCTTTTTCTTGACTGGCTTCTTTAAGGAGTTCCTAAGTGTATGTGAGTATGGCGAATATTAAGATTAAGAGTAAAAGTGATGCAGAAACATGTAATTTCAATTTGTGTCCGTTGAGGCTTTTCTCTGACAGAAAAAACCTCGGTTCTGGGTGTTCTAATGATCTCTAGAATCCGATTGGTTGATGTAGCCAGCTAGTCCACGGTACTGTCTCGAAATGCGATGAAGATGGCTCGCACCTGTTCAGGAAGCTCAGATAACAAAATTTGTTCAGAGAGGCCTCCATCGAAGGTCCATTGACTAATAACCGCCTGCATAATTAGCAACATATCTGTTGCTGGGCCATGTTGCAATTGTATATTGTGGAAGAGTTTGTCAAACACTGTCGATTTGTTGGATTTCCCCGTTTGGGGATAGATGTTATAAGGTTTGGAAACACCACTAGTAAATATACTATGTGTAATGTACCCTTTAAAATCGCGCAGAAGCGCCCTCACTGCTGCAAGAAATTGTGTACGTGAGCCCAACACACCGTACTAGTGGAAGCCAGCATATACACAATAGAATGTTGCTTCGGTGTTATCAGGCACTAGTTGAAACGTCGAAGGCGTAAGAGTCTTAAATTTCAACAGTCTGAGTGTTTTTTCTGTCACAATGAGGATGAAATATATAAATGGACAAAAATATCTGAAGATGAAAAAATATCACGGTATGTAAAAATAAAGAACGATGCACAATGTTCTAGTCAGGAACAAACTCAATGTCTGTCATCTGGTGTACCAGACCACTTTGGGTTCACCATTATATATGTCACAGATATTCAGGGTTTGACAACGCGTTTGTCTGTAGCACGTTTATAATTGATGGTTATATACCCAGCCAGATCAGAAGTCGGGACCGAGTGAGTTCGAAAACATATTTGGAAGGTTGTCAATATGTCGAAAAGCGTATGACATAAGCTGGTCAGTACTTGCATAGCACGGCGTACCCACTCGAGATCTGATGTGTATGCGTGATTGAAAGCCCTCATCTAGGTGTGTCCAGCAAAACTAATCAGGTCAGTATCAATATCGAAAACTCACAAGACGATTCATTTTTGGAATTTATTTCCGTTACAGTGTTCACAATGTTAAAACATATTAAGTAATCGGGATTGTGAAGCCTGTAGCTCTTCTAGAGTTGCTGCCGCTCCCAAGCTCGAGTAACGGAGGAGGGCTGTGTATGTGGTTAGCAACTCCATTCCGCGGAAAACTAACTCGCTAAAAAACAATAACCAGAAAAGTAATTCAAACCATTTGAACTCTGCCCAGGGAGTCAGAAGGTATTCATTTAGAAGAAATATGACGTCTCGTAAGGGCGGCCTGCTTGAGCATCTGAGCTACCTGTTCCTGCCATCTAGATATTTCAACAAGTTATCTATTGTTGTTTGTCTTAATATATCATTATGTTTATTAATCGCATAACCTATTCTGCTGCGTTTCTGAAAAGTGTACAATCTTTCGTTGTCAAAGTTACAGAAAACTCAATAAGAGACAATATGGTTGCTGGCAATATACAATGAAAAGAATGTACATTATTCAGTTGTTCGTTCACTGAAGTGCTAACATCTAACTGGCGATCCCTCAATATTTATTGCCAGGACCGACCAAGAAGAAAGAAACGGAAACTTGTTGAAATACTTTGCGCTGAGAATTTTATAATGTATCAGTAATATGACATTGAATAAAGCTAACAATAATAATAATAATAATAATAATAATAATAATAATAGTAAAGCCGAGTCCCTTCGGAAGCCACAAGGCCGATGTCCCTTCTAAGAACCAGAGCAACAATTTTTATAGGTACATGGAACGTACGGACAATGTGGGAAACCGGAAAGACCAGTCAAATAGCAACGGAAATGAGGAGAAACAACTTGGAAGTACTGGGAATCAGTGAAACCCATCGGATGCTGCTATACTCCGGTCACGAAGAGGAAAATGCTCCACACACTCAGGGAGTTGCTCTAATGCTGTCCAAAGTAGCACGAAATGCACTTGTAGGATGAGAGTCTCACGGATCCAGAATCATCAATGCATCATTCAAAACAAAGAGGGAGGGGATTACAATGAATATTATCCAATGTTATGTACCCACCAATGATAGCAACGACGACATTAAAGATCAGTTCTACGAGCGGCTGCAGTCAGTCATAGAGAAATGCCCAAGAAAGGAACTCACCATTCTGACGGGAGATCTAAACGCTAAAGTCGGGATAGACAACATCGGATATGAAGACATAATTGTGCGACATGGGCTGGGAGAGAGAAACGAAAATGGAGAAAGATTTGCGAATTTGTGTGCATTCAACCAATTGGTCATGGGAGGCACAATATTTCCACACAAACGTATACACAAGGCTACATGGATCTCATCGGGCCGCACCACAGAGAACAAGATAGATCATATTTGCATCAATAAAAAGTTTCGAAGGACAATGGAAGATGTGAGAACCATGGGGAGGATCTGACAAAGCTTCAGATCACCACCTGGTTGTGGCCAATTTAAAACTGAAGCTAAAGAAGAACTGGACAACTGGACAAACAGCACTACAAAGGTTCAATACAGCCCTCCTTCGAGATACTGATAAACTCAATGAATTCAAGATAAATCTCAAAAACAGGTTCCAAGTCTTTAACCGAGTGTTGCTGAACCGAATAAAAGACGCAATAGACGCTCAACTTCGAGATCAACAAGCTGGATTCCGTAAGGATCGGTCGTGCACAGACTAGATTGCGATACTACGGATCATCGTCGAACAATCAGTTGAGTGGAACTCGTCACTGTACATCAACTTCATTGATTATGAAAAAGGTATTTGACAGTGTAGAAAGGAGAACATTTTGGAAACTTCATGGACACTACGGAGTTCCTGAAAAGATTGTCAATATTATCCGGGACTCATACGACGGACTACAGTGCAAGGTCCTGCATGGAGGACAGCTGACAGATACATTCCAAGTAAGGACCGGAGTCAGAAAAGGCTGTTTACTCTCTCCCTTCCTCTCTCTTCTGGTGGTCGACTGGATTATGAAGACCTCGACATCTGAAGGAAAACACGGAATACAATGGACAACTCAGAACTAATTGGACGGTTTGGACTTCGCAGATGACCTAGCCCTCCTATCGCATACACATGAAGAAATGAAGATAAGGACAGCCAGTGTAGCAGCAGTCTCTGCATCAGTAGGCCTCAACATACACAAGGGGAAAACCAAGGTCCTCAAAGACAACACGGAGAACAGCAATCCAATCACTCTTGATGGCGAAACTCTGGAAGATGTGGAATCCTTCAATACCTGGGAAGCATAATCGATGAACAAGGAGGTTCAGATGCAGACGTAAACGCGAGGATTGGCAAAGCAAGGACAGCATTCCTACAGTTGGACAATATATACAACTCAAAACAACTGTCAACCAATATCAAAGTGAGAATCTTCAATACGAATGTCAAGGCAGATCTACTGTACGGAGCTGAAACTTGGAGAACTACAACAACCATCATCAAGAAGGTACAGGTATTTATAAATGGTTGTCTATGCAAGATACTCAACATCCATTGACCGGATACCATCAGCAACAGCCTTCTCTGGGAGAGAACAAATCATCTTCCAGCTGAAGAGGAAATTAGGAAAAGACTATGGAAATGGATAGGACATACATTACGCAAATCACCGAACTGCATCACGAGGCAAACCCTAACTCGGAATCCTTAAGGGAAGCGGAAAACGGGTAGGCCAAAGAACACATTACGTCAGGAAATGGAAGTAGATATGAAAGAGATGAATAACAAGTGGGAAGGATTGCCCAGGACAGGGTTGGATGGCGAATGCTGGTGAGCGGCTTATGCTCCTTCACGAGGAGTAACAGGCGTAGGTAAGTAAGGAATTGTGAATGTCATTTGCTGAACTGACTTAAATAAGAAACAAAGTCTAAGTATAGGTTGGAAGAATGATAATAACTCGAACAATCTCTATTCTGTTCTTCATTCGATTAAAGATTCATTATTGTCTGGGAGTTGTTTTACTATGCAGTGCTTCCATTATTGCAGGTGTTGTTGACTTTTGGCTGTTGTGCGATGGATTCGACTGATCCGATATATTCTCCTTTCTTCGGTGTGATTGGCGCAGTTTCTGCAGTGGTATTTTGTTGTAAGTTTGAAATTCCTTTCTTTTTATGCTAGGCTTGGGCGCTGCTTATGGGACTGCCAAGTCCGGAGCAGGCATCTGCTCAATGGGAGTGATGAGACCTGAATTAATCATAAAGTCAATTATTCCGGTTGTTATGGCTGGTATAATAGCAATTTATGGTCTCGTCGTAGCGGTTCTTATAGTTCAACGTGGTCAGGATTTGAAGAAACTTGACGTGTAAGTTAACATAACAGAAATTCATATCAGAACTCAGGTCTCTTAATCAGCTCGGTGCTGGCCTGAGTGTAGGACTTAGTGGTCTTGGTGCAGGTTTTGCCATTGGGATAGTTGGCGATGCTGGTGTACGTGGCACAGCTCAACAGTCTAGGTTATTCGTAGGAATGGTGCTAATCCTAATTTTCGCAGAAGTCCTTGGTCTTTACGGATTAATTGTCGCTCTTATTTTGTCCACAAAGTGAACTCTTACTTCAACTACCCTACTTACCCTGCTGTCTCATACTAATCAACTATGTCAAAAACATCTATTCTTTTGACATACTTATCAATATAACATTAATTTTATGTCGTCTGTGAAACTAATCAATTGACCTCGCTGAGAAATACACTCAGTGGTGATATTCATTTATCCTTTTACTTAACCAATCAGTCCATTCCAAATCATGTACGTCCAGCTGAAATCAGTTTTCCTCATATATTGGACGTGGTTAGTACATTTTGATTTTCATCTTTTTGTAAGTGATATAAAACTGCAAATCAGTAATCTGTTCGTGTCAAATGTTTTATCTGCGACATTTGAATGCACATTCTATTTTCAGTTAGCCTAATTTATTGCTGGACACATGCATAATACTTTTTCTTTGTGGTTATTGTCTTTTTGTATGTTAAGTCGATCCAGTTGTACTAAATATAGAGTTTTCCTATCACTGTGTTAATCATATATCAACCAATACTTCAGATACTATGGACAGTCTTTCCAACTGTTACTATGATGATTTAATCGGCAGACAATGGGTACGTAGTTGTGGTGTGACTAGTCTTAAGCTAGTCAGGATGATAAGACTCGAGTAGATCCTGCCGAATTCCGAAGGGTTGCTTTGCTATAATTATTTAGTAGATAGTTTGAAGCAACCTCATTGTCAAGTTTAATATTTCCCAATCTCACTGCGAATGCTTACAGAGATGCACTTGATTTATCTTTGTCTAGGCGTGTAGCAACTTTGTTATGTACAGTACAAGATTATTTTCATTTGGGCTCGGAATTCGTATTGTCAATTAGTCTTGTTCCTACGTTATTCATCCATGTATGCATTAAACTTCTTTAATAAGTGCAATTCATATAGTAGCGATTTAAGCCTTTTGGTATTGGGTCGCTAGATGACAAGATTCAGTATCACTACGTTCGTTGCTCTAATGGTAAGTGGTTTTGATCGAGGCGCTGATTCACGGGTTTGTATATGGCTGCACTTAACGTCAGTCTGTTTAAAAGGACGAACTCAGCTTTTGCCATACCGACCTAGTGTTTTTCTGAGTCTCCTGAGTTTCACAAAGATTCGATAAGTTTCTCAGAATTGTTTTTTTTACATCAAGTGATTAAGCTGATACAAATGGGTGTATGTTTACATCATAAGCACTAAGCAGCGACTCAAAATATGTATTAGAATTGAAACGAAATTAGCAACTAAGGTTAATTGATTTTACTGAAGCATAGTAGATATATTTAGCAATGTTTTACTTGGTTTTTGTCCCTTGCAACGAGGACTGCATGTGATAGCTGTCGTTAGCATTAAGTCCTAGATCTTGCTATTTAACTGATATCGCTGTCGAGCAGTTATGTCCGCTTGTAACTTAGTTGCCCCTACTTAAAGTCCGAAGATTGTTACGAAACAAGTCACCGATAAATAGTATATTTAAGTCCAATTGAATTGGTATATGGTGCACGATAATCCAAATGGGCTATATATATGATAACTCAATTCTGTGTTAACATTTTGTTTGCTGAGACAATATCCTCGTGAGATATGACAAGCTAAACTCAACCATTTATAAATATTGATTTTTCTTCATATGTTTCAACGAGTGGTTTGTCAGTCTGTATATAAAGTGAATTCTAATTGGTGGTGGTCACCTAGTCTCTGTCTTTATTCTATATAGCGAGTGGTTAGGTATTCTGTTTGACACCCAAATGTTAGCATTACTCAAGTGAATAAGTTAGGTTTAATATAATTTTTCTCAGTGAATTCCGGAAAAAAACTTAGTGACGAGTTCAATTATCTTTCCCGAGAAATTTTTTGTTTTGATTACTTAAAACCATATATGAATACGTCCAAACATATTCCGATGCATTATCATATTTCGCTGTACTGGTATGTGTGAAACGAGTAATCAATGAGGGTGAATGAGCCTAGTGCAGCATCTCCTGAAGTCCAGGTGATAGCCGTTAAGGGTTTCTACGTGTTTTCATTGAGCAAATGATTGATGATAGGTCGTAGGTATTAAGTGGAATGTTGCATCAACAGTTCTACAAGATGCCCAGTTAAATCGCAAACTAGTCTAAACAATCGAAGAAAAATCCTATATCATATGGGGTAACTACAGTAATCTAGTTGATGCATTGTCGCAATCCTTCGTTTCTTCATATAATAATAAGCTTAAGTTACAGTGAGAATATCAAAACATGCAAATAATCCAACCGATGAACCTCTAATAAAATAAGATACCCTGAATTGTGTTTCCAGTTGCTAATTAATGTTTGTAGATACTTAACTGTATCCTTCGTTATCATCAAAATTAAATGTTTGTCTGGGTCATATTAGTCAGCTGTAGCTCGCTGAGAGAAGCCTTCTGGAGACTGGTTGCTTGTCCTTAATATTTCTAACTAATATAGTTTTGCAATATCGTATTATTATTTTCTGGCTGTGGGAAAATATGCCACCGACACATCAGTAACTACAAATTTAACTTACGCGAAAGTTGTGCAAGTTCTCGCATACGTTAACTAAAGACGAGATTGGCCAGTTCGTTCAAGACTTATAAGAACACTCTTAGTAATTAATAATAACTCATCAGTAGGATCTATATTAATTGATTGTTGAATAAATGCAAAAAAGTATTTCTGGGAGTTATGATTTATCTGCATACATTCCCTCTTATTATTTCCTTCCTCTCTGGATTCATCTTCCATATAAATAAATTACGACTACAACTTAAAACATCTCTTGAAATAGCTTCTGTTGTTCGAGCATTGCGTCAACCAGGTAAAAGGGATTTATGCTTAAAGAGATTACGTAATATGGCTTGTGGTTGATTGGAGTGACTCACACTCATTCTCCTTGCACATGATATTACTATCCTGATATTTCTCAAGTTGTTTCTAATTAATTTGTTAGTGTGAACTTATTGTCTTTATACGAGATGATTTTATTTAATTCGTTTTTTATACTACGATTGATAAAAACATTTCATCAAGCTGAATCTTTGTGAAACTATTTTTCATAAAAGAGTCAAAGTTTACTCTGTATGTGTGATGTACTAAAAGTTTTTTGCAATTTACATTGCTGAACAAGACTAGAAAAATTAAACCTACATTCAATTTGACCTCAGTTTAACCGATACCAATTTTGTCTATTAATATATACATATGTATACAATGTTGGAAAACTAATTTCTTTTATAATGTTTAATTTAAGTCATAAAATTACATTTTGGTACATTATACATCGCATGAATGAAATCTTATTAATTAAATAATAACGTAGGATCTTCGAGGTGGACATGATATCGAAATCAAAATGAACTAAATCAATACATTGAAATGAACTATTATACGATGAATGCATTTTTTTATTACCAAAAAAAATTATGCAAATTTTTTATCTCACCTGTATAGTAACTTTGTCTAATAAGTTTATTCATTAGGATTTTAATTTGTAGTCGTAGTTTGTGTATATTTTATGGTTTTTAAAAATGAATTCGTACGGTATTTCATTTACGCATAATACAATTTCATTCCATGCACTGTATGAATGTGTCTCACTATTAAATTACTCTGCTACTCATCCATTAATTATTGGTTTGTGTACTCGAGATGAAAGTACACTATCTTGTATATGTATGTTTGAGAGCTAGTGATGCAATCAAAATGCCTAAAAAAATTCAGTAAAGTGAGGGGAGGATATTTCAGTCACTCACCAAACGCGGTTATGATAACTTTGTCTTCTCAGTATCGCGTTGTTAAGGTCTTTCAAAGTAAGTAACGGTTTTAAAAGAGGTTTATAGTTCGTTTAGTCATTTATACCTGCAATATTAGTAAGGATGTGGATTTTTCCGTTGTTGATATTGATGACTTTCGATCAACTTTTGTTGGAATAAGTGCTTCCTATGTGGGTTCCCTCAATATAGCCACTTCGTTTCAAGTTTTATGGAACTAGTGCATTAGAGGTAACAATGGAGTCTAGAACTCGTGTATTTTATTATTTGGGTCTGATTAGCTGGATATACTTGGACTTCTGGCTTTATTATTTAAATTGCGACTTGAACCCATCTCTCTTGTACCAATATTCATGTGTCCAAATAAATATCCATTGTGTAGAACCCACCTTTCTTTTCAAACGCTAACTATTTGTTCACTGAGCTGCTAAGTCTTGATGGTCCCTAACCTGCTTCGGTCTGGGCACCCGGGCAGTATCGCAGCCCACACGCAAATGATGAACTCTCTATTTCTATGGCAACTACTTTTCTCGCTTCAAATAACAGTCAAATTATTATTATTATTATTTTCCACATTATTCACCCTCTTTTATACTTATACAGCGGCTCGTCTTTGGTGGAAATTCGACTGTATCTAAACGTTCTCGAGTCACTGTCCGGTTGATAATTGTATGTTACCACTGAATATGAGTGCTGAAGCAGTTTTTCTGAAATCACGTGCACCATTCAAACTGGCTGCCTTCAACGTTCGCACACTTATGCAGGTTGGTCAACAGATAGGGCTGGCTATGTCTTTGGAAAGTCTTAATATTGATGTTTGTTGTCTATCCGAGACCCGTATTCAAGACTCTGGTGAAGTACTACAAATTCGCTCTACATCTGTCACTTCGAAAAGCTTGTTTTACGTGCGCTTATCCGGAGACCCTGTGGCATCTTCGTCTGGTCTTGCAGGCGTTGGTGTCGCACTAAGCACTAGGGCTAAGGCAGCACTAATCGATTGGATCCCCATTAACAGTCGGTTATGTGCTGTTAGATTAGAAAGTTCTATCAAAGTGAGAAGAAATCGGCGTGAGAAACGATGTCTTTTCGTCATCTCCGCCTATGCCCCGACAGATTGCAGCCCGGATGCAATCAAGGATGAGTTTTACCACCAGATATCTGTTCTTCTCCAGAAAGTGCGTTCGACAGATATTGTAGTACTAGCCGGAGACTTGAATGCTCAGGTCGGGCGTCTAGGCACAGAAGAGGGTCGTTTAGGTGGCTGATGGGGACTTGTTAGTCGCAGAACAGATAACGGGGACCGTCTACTGCAACTGTGCACAGACCACAACCTGTTTCTGGCTAGCACTAACTTCCGGCACAGTCATCGCCGATGTGCCAACTGGCGTCTTCCCTCTAAATCTCAAGCCTGGACTCAGATTGATCACATCGCGATCATCTACCGCTGGCGTGGTTGTGTACAAGACTGCCGCTCCTTTTGGAGTACCTATCTGGGCTCTGACCATGCCTTGGTCTGCGCCAATCTTGCCTTACTTTTCAGTGGCCAACGAAGTGACCGCCAGCAAAGGATTGATATTAGCAAGCTGGTTGCAACTTCTGTTGCTAGTAAGTATCGAACCGAGCTAGCCTCTAGGCTAGCTACCACTCCACCGAAAAGTATAGATGAGCATTGGTTGCAATTGCATGACGCCATGAAAATGGCGGGTACAGTCAGTTG